AAGATCAGAAGCACCCTTCTCACATTCTTCAGTTCCCCGATCGAAGAATTACCAAAAATTAATAAGTTGTCTGCAAATTGGAGGTGAGAGAGCCCAAAGGAATTACCTTGACTTCCAACCTCAAAACCTCAAAACAAGCCTAATCTCGCAGGTTTTGACAGCATCAAATTCAATAATTCACTGACCAAATTAAAAAGGAGAGGAGAAATAGAGCATCTCTGTCGAGACCCGTCATGATCTGAAACTCATCCGAGGGAGAACCATTCACTAAGACCGAGATTGAAGATGTACACAAGCACATTTTCATCCAAGACCTCCACCTCTGTCCAAACCCTATGCAGTCCATGATTTTCAGTAATAAATTCCAATCAATTGAGTCACGCGCTCTTTTGAAGTCAACCTTAAACGTTATTTCTTCAAGGCCTTTCCTTCTCCAACCATCAATCCCCTCTTTCGCAATAAACGAACAATCCATAATATGCCTTCCCGGAATAAAGCAAATTGGGAAGGGCCAACAACCGCATCCATACATTGTTGTAATATCCTAGATAACACCTTTGACAAAATCTTATAAAGCCCTCCCACTAGGCTAATCGGTTAAAGTCCTCAATACTTTCCGAATTCGCCTTTTTCGGGATAATGGTAATGAAAAGGTGATTAACACATAGAAGTCATTGATAAACCTCAAGATGTCCTCTTTTAAGTTTGACCAAAACTTTTTAAAATATCTCATTGTCAATCCATCCGTCCGATGACGATATTGCATCCTAAGCTTCTTCCTCCGAGAATGGTCTTTCCAAAAACGAATTTTGCTCCTCTGAAATCTTGGAGAAATTGAAATCCAATACCTCTACCTCAACTGTAGGATTCCTATTATAAACTTCTTTGGAAAAATTTACTACGTTTAGCAAGATCATTCCAAAAAAGGGTACATAGAATATAAGCATCAAAAAAATCTGAAATACAATCCCTTTACCTATGCCCTTTTTCTTGTGGTTAACCACTTCACCACACTGGAAATATTGTTTTCTTAAATCTCTTATTGAATAATCCACAATCATGCCAGAAATATGCTCAGAGCATATAATGTATTAGTCCATGTTAGGTGATTCACAGTTAGCAATCCTGTCATCGATACACTTGTTCAAGTCTTTACTGCCTACATTTCCACCAACCAATGGACCAGGTAAGGATTGTTGGCACAAAGTATTAAAATAATCAGAGGTTGCTGGTACAGCACCAGAAATGCTAGTGTTTGAATTGACAACTTCCAACAAATTGAGTACAGAGATAGAGGCTCCTAAAGAACCCTTCAAACAAACACAATCATACAACATTAACATTTAGAAATGAAAATTATAGCAATAGTAACAGTACTTAAGACTCATTTAGGGTTCCCCTGCTAAAAAACCAGGCTTTAGATCCTCAATCAATAAAGATATGTTATATTCTGGAAATTAGAACAAGAGACGCAACTTCAAAGAATCTATTTCTTTCTTCCATCAGCTTCTACAAAATAAATTAGATTTATACACTAATACATTATTTTATATATAACTTGTCTAACCTGGGTACCAAATGACGAGTTTTGCAGAGGACTACTATCTTTCATTACTAATATTATTCCACCAAATCCAAAACTAACAAGTGCATGTGGAGGCTGGCCAGAAGACGACCATCCGGTGTTAGAAGCATAAGGAAGCGACTGGCTAGTCTGAAGTGGCTGCTGGGCAACAGTTACAGACTTTTGGCCTCCATAGAAATCATTTGAGAAATGCATTTGCTCATTTTGCTTTAAAGTTGCCTGGGTAAAATTGTGGTTGAAATTTTCAGTAGGAAGAAAGCATTGTAACCCAGTAACCCCATTGACTTCTTTATGAACTTGATTAGCATTATTGACTGGCTGAACTTCCTGCAAAATTTATAGGATGACTTGAAGTGACTTACATGGTTGTTCACAGGCATACTCAAACCAAAAGATGCATCTGATTGCTGGTTCCCAGTGAGGCTATTTTTGGGAATAGTCTCAGGTTGCAACAATCTCAAACATGGACTATGATTATTAAGATAGGAATCTCCCCATGAACAATGTTCATCAGGGCTTTCAATACCAAGTGAACCATAATTATCACCTTGTTCATGTTCACCATACATGCTAGAACTGTTAACCTGAGTTAGATAATTCTGAACGGTAGAAGTAAATTCATTTTGATTTTGCTAACCATCACCCAGAACATTTGACTGAACACGGGCATTATAGCTTTCCAACGCGCACCATTGCTGAGCAATTAAGTCATAGAACCAACCAGGGTATTGAGAGTCAAAAACCATATGTTTTGGATACCCATCATTCACTTGGAAAACCCGAGTCCAATTTGACACACTCTCCATGGCACAGTTCTCTACAGTTGTCAGAGTCCCCACAACAGATTGAAATGTCTGCTGCAAATAAGAAGCCTCTGCTTTCACATCTGTGTTCCCACTGCCATCACCACTTACACCATCCATGTGATACCACTACCCTGAATTTGCATCATACTTCCATCCTGGATACATCTCCCAGTCATGACTGCTCTATAGATCAAGATCATTTCCATTATCTGCAGTAGAAGCTCCAAAAACTAAATCATGGTTGGCATCATGATACTGCTCAAAAGTACTAATTGAATTCCGTTCGTATAAACTCTTTTCCGCAATTGCATCCATCCCATAAGGGAAATCCGCTGTGGAATTCTCCCCCAAATTACTGAAAAAATCAGAATATGAACAGAACCCTTGCACCCCATTCTCATTAGAATTAGTAAAAAGCGACTTCCACCCTATTTGCTTAATCCCAGCGTTCTTAGATCCAATATTCTCATTTAAGTTCTGACGGAATACAACCCCTGACTGTGCTCCTTGTTGGAGATGATTGTTCGAGTCAACCACACTAGTATCTATCTCAAAAGAATCATTAGGGCCATTACCTGCCTGTGCATTGGCGGATTCTGGACCTGCATCCAGAGGATCTTTTTCCTTTCCACCTCAAATGTCAACCTCTTTGCAACCGGAATCTTCTCCAATTAATAAATTGGAAAAGGCTTTAGCATCGTCGGATTCGTTACCCTCCGTAAATTTTGGGACGGTGGGGCCCATGTTATCATCACCGTCATCATTAACTAACTTGTCAAAGAAATCTCCATCCATATGATCCTCCACCTGGAATGGAGGATTCGGAGCCATCGACAAATTGAAACAAAAAACGCTAAGGAGCTAAAATGCAAAACAAAACCCTAACAATCTAATAACAAAAACAAATGGAAAAAAAAGGTTGCTTTACTGTAATTTGTTCTCAAAAAATTAACGATGAAGGTAAATAATTTAGAAAGATATTCAGAATTCGAGCTGAAACGGTTACGCAGACATCGAGACCCAGGGTTTTTGAGATATCTGCAATCCTACCACCATAAATTCAATTGAAAAAAAAAAATGAAAAGGTGGATGAATAAATTGAGGCAAAAATTCAACGCATTTAAATTAAATGAGGAAGAGAAACCTATTGGATACAGAGTTAATCAAATAAAAACTGAAAAACAAAAGAAAATACTTACAGGTGAACATATGACGAGATACAACCAAAATTGCTAGAAAGGGAGAGAACTTGTTTATGTTATTTTAGTTTTCTTAGGGCTGTTTACTTATTAAATGTTGAATGATTTAGAAGTTTTGAATGTGAAATACTGTTTGATAATAACTCTAAATCATTCAAAATATACTTCTGTGTTGAATCATTCAGAATGTACTTTTGTGTTGAATCATTCAGAATGTACTTTTGTGTTGAATCATTCAGAATGTATTTTTATGTTAAATCATTCAAAATGTACTTATGTGCTGAATTATTCAAAATGTACTTCTGTGCTGAATCAGTCAGCACTGAATTATCCAGAGGTGCGAAACAAACGTGCTGAATGTTAAACAGTTTAACATTCAACGATGAATGATTTCATTAAGACACAAACAAACAATCCCTTACTTTTGTTCATTCCGGTCGAAAATATACTTAGGGGAATCGAAGGCTATAATATAACCACTAAACTAACTTAAATTATTATATATTCTTATAAATATAATATATATCGTATAGTTTAGATTATTTATAATTTTTTTAAATTAAATATTATTTATAATATAAATATAATTTAAATATGTATACTATGTTTATAATAATATAACAAAAACTTAAATTGATGGAGTTGATTGAGTGATCATTTTTTTTTGCCAGAAGTTGAGAATTTAAATCTTATTTTATTAAAGTTCCGGTTTACGTCGTCCACAACTGATCATGTCACCGTGTAGTTAGTAATTTAGCAACGTACTGACATTAATTAAAACAAAAGTTAAAATTTAATGTTATAATGGGCAAAATTGGAAGTTTGAGTTGTACAAATCAACAATTTATGTTCAGGGACGATCTGATATTTGTCATCTTTCACCACAGCACAAATATTTCCATTCTTCAACATAAGAAAAAAAATGTTATACAAACGATGCCTGCTCAGGGCATTTGTTTCTTTTTAGTAACCAAAAAAAGAATACAAATATCCAGCTCCTTTAACCCTGGGAATACAGATAAAATCTAATCAGTTAAATAAGGCTACATTTGATTACGCTTTTGTTTTTAGCTATCCCTTTCTATCCCAAAAACTAAAAAAAAAAAATCTAAAACAAAAAGTACCAACCGAATGAAACCTAAGAAGGCAACTGAAATACAAATGCAGAAACGGGGGGGGGGGGGGGTTTAAGAAGTTAACAGCTAAAGAAGATATTTTTGCTTCCATAACCAGTGTGCTGCTGTTGCTGCATGCTCGGAAATATCACGAATATTCATATTTAGATTGCAGGAACGAAACTTTGATATTTACATCTTGACAAATCTTGGCTCAAAGCTCCACCTCTGTAGCTCATCCCCAGTACTACCATTCATTGGACCAGGCATAAACAAAGGATGACCAAATGCATTATCAAAGTTGCTTCCGCTCCACGAGGCTGCTCGACGCCAGTCTGATGAATAGCCATTGCCATTTGTCATTATGCCTTCCTGAGGAATATTATCGATGCTTGGGAATTTGTGCTTAGTCTTCGATGATGGACAAGAAGCGTTGGCATCGGCATCAGAAGTGGAAGTGGTAAGATTATTACTTGTAGCATTCTCTTTTGCATTTCCAGTAGTTGTCTCCATTGATTGTTCATTAGTCGTTGTTGATACAGGAATGGGAACAAAGAACTTTGCATTTGCAGCTGCTGCAGGTTTAACAGAGGAAACAGCCGGTGACTGAAATAAATTTGCTTGGCCGCCGCCGCCACCTTTGTTGAAAGTGTCCACATACCTGTCAAGGGTTGATGCCATAGAAAAATCAAATGAAAAACATAAATGTTATACTCTCCTGGTTTACAGAGTAACATCACATATAAAATAGAACTCAATTTTCAAGCCCAAAAAAATTTGTTAATTTCAACAATAACAGAGAAGGGAAATCTTAAATGCTTATGAATCGTCAAAAGCATTCATGGTCAGTTAAATCATTATCTACTTAGCTAGTTATTACCTTATCTTTAGGTAGAAAACTAAATATAACCCAAGTCTAATGAAATCCTACATTCACCACCTTAACTTACTTCCAACATTCATTCAACCAGAATAGTGTTCATTTAAAAAAAATAAAACTTAAGAAGTACCTTGCTCGAACACCCATTCGTCCACGAGCAGATAATTGATTGGAGCTTGTAGGAATAGGAGGGATCCCAGAAGCATGTTCTATTGGGGTTGGGTTTCTGAGTTTCGGGCTTCCGTTAGGAGGAGAACCCTCATTCTTCAATACAGAGTTCAAGTTGTAGTCAGACGTTCCATTCTGGAATGCAACAGTAGTCGGAGGTGGTGGCAAGGCTGTTTCTTCAGCTGGAGGTTCAGCACCTTCCTCCACCCATCTCTTAAGTTTTTCGTCATAGTAGAATTTGTTTCTTTCGCCTAGCTTAGCCTTCAGATAACAATGTAAGTTAAATTAAAACAAACATTTTTTATATCAAGAGTGGGTACCATGTTTGTTCAACAGAAAACTAAGAAATATATGAAAATAATAAAAGTAAAAGGAGCAACCTGTTTATCAGCACGAGGCCCTAAGACTAACCCCACAGTTTTCTGTAAAATCTGTGAGCCAAAACTAAAACGAGAAAAGCGAGATGCCCCTACTGAGCCTGATGCTTTGCCTTGTTCAGTGGATGTTCCTGTTTCCTTGGATGAATCAACCTGATCCATCAAATATCAGTAAGACAGTAAGACAACTCCGTAACATTTTTTAATGTAAGATGCAAGTAGCAAAGGTAGGTAACTGTTAACCTGTCTTGGAGTTCTGCTCATGTCCGGCTCTGAAACACTTCTATTATGCACTGTCATTTTGCCATCAGCCCCCTTGCCTGCCCAATCTCTTATACGTTCCATTGAAGAAGAGGGCATCAATGATGACATAGCCATTGTTGATTGGCTAGAAGAGACTCTTGGCCCAGTTTGTTGGTTGAAATGATCATTACCTAGAGAATTTCCATTTGGTGCTGGTGTAGAAGGTGGTGGTAGATCCCCAACAACACGATGTGCAGTGCTATCAAAAAAGTTCAGCAATTTACCAACTAATTTTGCTGGAGCCAAATTTGTAGCATATCCCCCCTACAAAAGAAAGCCCGATATGAACAAAGTAAATATATTGACGAGAAAGCCTACACTGAGAAGCTAAAACAAACCTGTCGATGGGATCTTATCCTCTCCTCAAGAGATAAAATTAAGTGTTTCCAAGTTTCTACCTCAGGCAATCGACTAGTTTTCAGAGATTTCAATACAGCTTGACAGTACCTGAATTAGCCTAACTATGTTAACAAATTGAATGAAAAAAAAATCAAATGCAGACAACTTAAACATGCTTACTTCAATGAATCTGAAAATTTTCCAACTTCAGCCAGCATGTGTGCATAAACAAGTTTGTATGGCTGAAATGGTAGCAAGACAAACTGGGAGTTCCCCAGCACCTTTGAATATTCATATAATTCAGTCCTCTGTAAAAGAATAACAGAAAAATTGAAACAAATTAATCAGGTTGGTGTCTTAGAAGATACAGCTAGGATTTGGCATTATATACCAGTGACAAGACATGGTTCATTATTGAAATAAAAAACTATACTAATTTCATGAAGGTGATCAGATGTATGTACATATGCATGCAGGTGCCTGTCTGTATGTGTATATGTGTTATATAATATACATATATAGAGAGAGAAAGATAGATGATTTCAACCTAATCAATTTTGCTTGAAGATTGATATTTCATTTACATTTCCCCCAACAGAGAAAAAACATTCCCAACTAAATACTGTAAGTCAATCATAAAACAGATAAACTCTAGCAAACATGCTAAAGTACCAACACCATGCTTGACAAATAGTTAATAACACCAATATTAAGGACCAAAAAAAAATTGAAGAGCACCTGGATAGCCTCTGGACTAGCATAGGTTCGGGGAAATTTCAAGTGATCTGCTCCGATAAGACAAAGTCTAGCACTACCTGAATATGACTCAAAGTTTGCTTCCGCAACTAAGTAACAGATGTGTGCTGCCGTTATCTGGATTTGAATTCTCGAGTAAGAGCCATTTTATAAACATTAAGAATGAATAAATATGCTAAGAGTGTACCATCCGAAAGGGAGAAAATGGAGCTAGAACAGACAATATTGTACCTCACTCCTTTCCTTCCACAGGCAATCTCCAAGATGAATAATTACAAGTTCATCATCTTTGGTTCTATTTGCAGTTATTACGGCCAAATTCTCTTCCCAATCATCAAGCATGCAATTTTCCCTTAACTGCCCATAAAGAAAATGAGGGAAAAAGAACAAAAGAAGCAATGGAATTCAGATTCTCACTGGCTTAGGAGAAGGTATTCCTACTAATATGAATTCAAGCATATGGATCTCACATGATAAGAAACATGTGGAACAAGAAAATTGAGAAGAAACAAAATGAAATACAACAGGCAGTAGCTGAACAAAGTACCAGTTCTCCACAACAAAGGTACCTTTCCTCCCAATAGTTAGCAAGATCGTTCCAAAAAGGTATACGAAGAATAGAAGCATCAAAGGTATGTGAAATACAATCCCTTTAACCTATGTTGTTTTTCTCATGGTTAACCGCTTCATCACAGTTCACAGGCAATTTTTTCCTTAAATTTCTTATAGAAGAATCCACAATCACACCAGAAAAATAATCAGAGCAAATAGTGTCTTACTACCTGTTGCTGTTTGGTAAAAAAAAAATTTTCCTTCCTAAAAATCCCAATTAGTATTAAATTCCATGCATCAATATATTACCTCTGCATGCTGTTGCGACAAATCCATGCTAACTGTGGGGCCTGTGGAAAAAACTTCAGCTGGTTGCCCTGCAATTAGCAAGCATAATGTCCGTAAAGGAGACCCTGCTACCAGCTGATCAAGTGCCATTTGCCTAACAGTATCAATGTAGAACTATAATGATCCGAAGCCACCCCCGGGAACCAATTGTAGAGAGAGAGAGAGAGAGAGAGAGAGAGAGAGGCTTCAGTTAATTTCCTTGATCATTATAATAGGAACAAGTCACAGACAATTAAAGTGAAGTGAAAAAGCAAACCTGTTCGCCAAGTTGCGATGCGAGAACAAGTGCAGGTCCCCACAATTGACCTTCTAGTGCATGCTGTAGAGCCTCTCTTTTTCTTCCAGAAACCAGAAGATTCTGCACCTCAAGTGCAGTTGCCTACAACATATATTAAAATTTGAGGAAAAAACACAAAAAAGCCTGTAATAATAAAAATAGTGAAGTACAGTTGATGGCATACCCGAACTTGTCTTTCAGAAGGCAATTGCTTCAAGCAGTGGCTAAGAGCACCATAAGGTGTGTCCTTCCTCTTCGCAGATGCAAAGAGTTTAGCAACTGCTGATTCTGGAGTACCAGTCTCCTATAAATGGGTACATGCCAATTAGAATGAAATACAATATAACCAAGCAAAAGAAATCAGAGAACCAAAACAGTCACATTTTACTTCATTGTACATGAAAATAAACCCTCAGAACAGTAGTTATATCTTGAGTTGTACGCTAGAAAACCTAAGATTAGATTGAAGAAGAAAAATCACAGTACAAGTATCTTCAAAGGATACAGTTAAAAGTTAAAGTGAATTTTTAAGGAGAGCGAACTTCATTGTTAAAAAAAGGGTGAAAATTGTGATAGAAGTATTTACCTTCAATAGGATGTCAGATCCAAAAGGAGACCGAAGTTTTCCATAATGCTGCCAAGCTATTTTAAGCAACGAGAGAAGCATTCTCAAAAGTTCACCTTTTCCATAGTCCATGTTAGGTGATTCACAGCAGGCAATCCTGTCATCAATCCACTTGTTCAAGTCTTTACTGCCTACATTTCCACCCACCAATGGACCAGGGAAGGATTGTTGGCATAGAGTACTAAAATAATCAGAGGTTGCCGGTGCAGCACCAGAAATGCTAATGTTTGAATTAACAACTTCCAACAAATTGAGTACAGAGATAGATGCTCCTACAGAACCCTTCAAACAAACACAATATACAACATTAGCATTTAGAAAAATTATAGCAAGAGCATCATGTTTGGTAATTAAAACTCAATTCCCCTGCAAGAAAAATATGTTAATTTCTGGAAATTAGAACAAGAGACAAATTCAAAGAATCTAGATCTTACTTCCACCAGCTTCTGAAAAATAAATTAGATTTATTCTACAACGTTATTTTATATATAATTTGTCTAACCTGGGCACCAAATGACGAGTTTTGCAGAGGACTACTATCTTTCATTACTATGAGTTTTCCACCAAATCCAAAACTAACAAGTGCATGTGGAGACGGCCAGCAGAAGACAATCCAGTGTTAGAAGCATAAGGAAACATCTGGCTAGTCTGAAGTGGCTGCTGAGCAACATTAACAGACTTTTGGCCTCCATAGAAATCATTTGAGAAATGCATTTGCTCATTTTTCTCTAAACTTGTCTGGGTAAACTGGTGATTGAAGTTTTCAGTAGGAAGAAAGCTTTGTAACCCAGAAACCCCATTGGCTTCAGTATGAACCTGATTAGCATTATATACTGACTGAACTTCCGGAAGAGAATTATAGGATGACTTGAAGTGATTTACTTGGTTGTTCACAGGCATATTCAAACCAAAAGATGTATCTGGTTGCTGGTTCCCAGCAATGCTTGAAACTGCCTTAGTTTTGGGAACAGTCCCAGATTGCCACATATTCAAACCTGGACTATCATAGTTACCATAGGAATCTCCCCAAATAGGACGTTCACCAAGGTTTTTGAGACCTACTGACCCATAATTATCACCTTGTTCATTTTCACCATGCATCCTAGAACCGTTAATTTGTGTCAGAGAATTCTGAACGGTATAAGTATATCCATTTTGCTGACCATCAGCTTGAACAGTTGACTTAACAGAGGCATTATAGCTATCCAGTGGACACCATTGCTGAGCAATTAAGTCATAGTACCAACCAGGGTATTGAGGGTCAAAAACCATATGTTCTGGATACCCATCATTCACTTTGGAAACCTGATTCCAATTTGCCACACTATCCATGGCACTTCTCTCTACGATTGTCATAGTCCCAGCAACAGATTGAAATGTCTGCTGCAAATAAGAAGCCCCTGCTTTCATATCTGGGTTCCCACTTCCATCACCACTTGAAACATCCATTTGATACCACTGCCCTGAATTTGCATCATACTTCCATCCTGGATACATATTCTCCCAGTACTGAATGCTATAGAAATCAAGCTCATTTCCATTATCTGCAATAGAATCTCCACAAACCTGATCATGGTTGGCATCATGATACTGCTCCTGAGCAGTAACTGAATTCCGATCAAATAAATTTGTTTTCGCAATTACATCCACCTCAGAAGGGAAATCCTCTGTGGAATTCTCCCCTAAATTGCTGAAAAACTCAGAGTACGAACCAAACCCTTGGACCCCATTCTCATTAGAAGCGGCAAAAAGCGAATTCCACCCTACTTCCTTAACCCCAGCGTTCTTAGATCCAATATTTTCATTTAAGTTCTGACTGAATACAGCCTCTGACTGTGCTCCTTCTTGTATGTGATTATTCGAATCAATCAAACTATTATCTATCCCTAATGAATTATTAGGGCCATTACCTGCCGATGAATTGGCGGGTGCTGGACCTGCATCAGCGGGATCTTTTTCCTTTCCGCCATGACAGTCAACCTCTTTGCAGCCGGAATCTTCTCCCATTAATAAATTGGAAAAGGCTTTAGCATCGTTGGAGTTATTACCCTCTGTGAATATTGGGACGGTGGGGTCCATGCTATCGTCATCGTCATCATTAACTAACTTGTCGAAGAAATCTTCATCCGTTTGATCCTCCACCTGGAACGGAGGATTCGAAGCCATCGCCTAAACTGAAACGAAAAATTCTAAGGATCTAAAGTACAAAAGAAAACCCTAACAATCTAATAACAAAAATAAACGAAAAAGAGCCTGCTTTACTGTAATTTATTCTCGAAAAATTAATGAAGAAAGTAAATAATAAGAATGATCTTCAGAATTGGGGCTGAAACGGATAGGCGGACAACGAGATCCAACCACTTAACGTTTCAATCAGATGAAATACATGAGAGGGAGGAGTAAGATCCAGGGTTTTTGAGATGTCTGCAATACTAACACCATGAATTCAATTGAAGAAGATCAAAAGATTGATGAATAAATTAAGGCAAAAGCTTAACGCGTTAAATTTAAAAGGAGGAAGAGAAACCTATTAGTTACAGAGTTGATCAAATAAAAATACAAAAACAAAATACAAAAAAGGTACTTACAGATTGAGGTGAAGATATGACGAGATACAGCCAAAATTGCAAGAGGGGGATTCGAGCTTTGTTTTGGTTATTTTAGTTTGCTTGTTTTATCGGAAACTTGTTTTTCTTCTTCTTTCCGATCCGGAAATATGTTAATTAATTTATTGTTGTTATTATTACTAAACTATATAAATGTCATAAAACCTTTTAGACACTTGAATTTTGGTTACTAAAAATTTAATATAGTCATTTAATTTTTAATTCATTAAAAATTTATTTTTATTACAATTATTATTTTAGTTTTTATTAAGAAATGTTGAAAGTCATCTTTATTTTGTAAAAAAATTCTAAATTATTTAAACTAATTGGCAATCATCCATCTCGTTTTACGTGTATTATCACCATCTAATGTTCTCTCAATTGCACCACCTTTAAACAAAACATTAATCATATTTAATAACTTCTCATCATCCTATATTGTCAAACCATTTATCATCGTCATTTCATCTAAGTTTCAAATACTAAAATCACCACCTACGATTAAACTAATCCTTAATCACAATCATTAATCTCATTCAGTTATCGTGCACAACTACAACACCAAAAACAGTAAATAATAAACCATAACAAAAAAATAAAAGAAGTAAAGAAAAAAGAGAAAAAGAAAATTATCCATCTCGATCTTAGTGAGTTTTTGATGAACATAGTAGTCATCAATTAATTTCAAAGGTGTGAAGACTTTGTTTGGCTAGAAGATTAATATAATTTGTTTTCAAGTTGATATGAGTTTCAAGGTTTTAAATAGTAGTCCACGATCGCGATAGCGCCCTCAAAATAATAGTAGCTCCTGCTATGGCCGCAATCACTGTAAACACGATTAGAAGCTAATCCAATGAGTTTAAATTGATGAAAAATAAGAGAAAAAGAATGAGAATAGTTTAGTGTTTTTTTTCGATCAAAGAAATCACTAAAACGGTGACGAAAATGACAAGGAAAGGAGGAACGGTGACAACTAATTTTAGATATATGAAACTTAAGATTTTGGGGGAAAAGATAATTTAATATGTCATATCAATATTTTTTTAACGATAATTGACCATAATAACCACAATGAAAGTAATTTTTTTTAAAAAAAATTAGTAATTATATTTTAAACTTTAAAATGTTGATTACAAAAATACAAATACCCTAAAAGTTTGATAACCATTTAATGTTGTTTACCTTTATTATTATTATTATTATTATTATCAAATGGGTTAATTCATTAGAGTCTCCAAATTATGGACTATATTTTAAATTGATCCTAAACTATAAAACATTCCGATTAAATTATTAAACTACAATATTAATCCAATCACATTGTAAACTATCAACTTGGATGTTAATATTGATATGTATGTAACATACTTTTTTAAACGGTAAAGATAACTCAACAATTTGACATTGAACGCTCACACATCTGGTATTCCTAATGCTCAAACTTGAAACCTCAACGAATAACAACAATTTACTTACTATTGAGGAGTTCGGTTTGTGCTTATCCTCTCATTGAAAGAGCCACAAGGCCCGGTTCATGATGTCTCTCGATTCTTTCATGGCACTTACCCTCCCTCCCTTCATCGTTTGTTTGTGGATTTACAATGACATAAGAGTGGGGGTCCAATTACCCCTTTGGTCATTTGGGCTTCAACGTGGTTTTACTATAATTGTTCATTTGGGTAAACTGAAGTCTGATTTAACTGTTGGGCTAAGCAGTCGGGCTTTAGGATTTTGATTTGGTATTGGTATTGTAACTGGCCATGGCCTTATCTAATATGTTTGTAATTCAACATTTGACTATGGAGTAGTAACCATAGCTGCTAAGAACAATTACGCAATGGTGTTTTGGTTTTAGAATATACATATAAACCCATATTTCTCTATCCTCAAAGCAAAACCTCACCGGTATAGTCATCTTTAAGACAAATAATTAGTTTCAGTATATTGAATTATCCTTTCCAAAGCGAGATAATTGTAATTACAAATTTTGTTTAGGTCCAATATTTAGACCAAGATCTATTACACAACCCAAAAATTAAAGAAAAACCATAACCCATCCTTTTAAATAAATAAATAAATAAACAGAGTTTCTCTCCTAGGAGGACTCTGTCACTACCACATCTTAAAAAAAACTACCTTATCCCATCGAATCTCATGTCCCACTACAACTCAAATTCCCCAAGAATCCCATAAGATTCAGACTCTCACCATCAAAATTTTCTCTCATACATTCCTATTTAAACCTATCTTCACACCTTGCATAGGAGGATATTTCTAAAATATACAGGAAAAAACACGAATCTTTGAGAAGAGGAATCTGCGAAAAGAGGAGAAAAAAATCCATGAATTAAGAGAAGTAAAATGCCAAAGCATCTAGACGACAAGTGAACCTTCAAATCTCGGGCGAAAAAACGTTCAACGACGAATTTCCAGACTTAAAGAAGATCCTATTTAAAGGTATTCAATTGTACCTAGCCCAAAATGATCGATGGTGACTTTCGTTTTCAAAAATATATATCTTTTCCATGACTATTTTCGAACCACCAAAAATGATTTCTACAGTTCGACGACTCCATCGGGACTTTTTTATATTTTGAGAGTTAAGCCACAAATAAAATTACATGATGTTTATTTTTTCAAAGAATTGCGAATATGAATTTAGTTTCAATTTCACATTTTTTTTAAAAATGTTTTGTAATGTTTTTAAAATAAAATGAAATGTTTTTTAAAAAAATGGGTAGTTTTTGTTTTTGAAGCGTTTGACCAACAAATGACTTGTGAAAATAGAATGTTTTAATAATATAAAAATTATGAAGGTCGTTCTATTAAAAGTTATTTCTCGTGTCAACACCTCACATGATTATATTTTCATAACATGATCTTTCTACCCAACCTCCATCCCTTTTAAGTGGGAGCAAATGCTACGCCTTCGTGAGTAATCCTCCGTGTAGGCCTAGTAATTGCTTTTAGGGTGCATATGTTGTATGTCTTCATGAGTAACCTTCCCTGTCAGCATAGGAAAATGTATGCTCTCGGGTTGAACTTATCCATTTGAAGCATTTAGTGGGTGAGGATCAAAGGCCCTACGAGCCCTAGTAGGTGATAGTATGAACAGCTCGGGTACTTTTTTAGAACCAAACCTCATGAATAAACCATAGAAACCAGCCCGATTAAAGCCATAAACCTCGGGGATTACAGTGGTAAGTACGAAAATTTATTTGTTTACGCATTCACAGTCGAGGTAAGTTCAATTTTAATGATAAATAAGTTTATTTGTTTCTGCCTTATGTTAACAATCCGTTTTCCATTATACCGATTAATTTCTTATTTTTTCTTATCATGCGTACATACATCATTTGCATAATAAAGAAGTTGGTCCAAAACTGATTTCAGAAGTAAAGGGTTTTTGCCATGAAGAAAATGTATCAAAATAAGGTTGATGAAAATCCTGATGTGCGAAAGTGGTCAGAGGTAACCTAGAAAAAACAGGGGGACAACATAATGGCGGGTAGACCTGACTGACTACACTTATGTCAATGTTAAGCGGAATGACTTGCAAGAGTTACGAGAGATATGAGACAAGTGGGACTTCAAGATGAGGCAACTTTTCCATCAAACTTATGGTGATATTCTTATTTACTCTATGTAACAGTATATGAGAGCTTGATACGGGCTCTTATAAAGTTTTCGAACCCGCCTATAGTTGTTTCACATTCAATCAAGAGGATATAACACCAACTATCGAGGAGTACACTACTTTACTTCATTTAGAGAAGGTTCAAATGGACTGTATCTACACTAAGTCTAATAAATCTATCTCCCTCAAAGGAAAGCTCGAGAAGTTAACCAGAATGGGTGCACAATGGGCTGCAAGTCAAATCAAACGTAAAGAATGTAATGATTTGGTTGCTTGGATGGTTCTACAAGAGATGATTCACAAGCATCCTGAAAAACAAATGAAAATGAATATATTTGCTCTGGGGATCTATGGTTTGATAATTTTTCCTAAAGCCTTAGGGTATGTATTAATGATTTGTTTGCTGAGCTTGATAGAGAGTTCAATCTTGCACCGACGATATTAGCAGAATCATTTCGGTCATTGAGTGCATGTCAAAAGCATGTGGAGGGATATTTAAGGGATGCGCTCAGCTTCTTACAGTATGGATACAAAGGCATTTCTGGAAGGTGGAGAAGGTGTCAGCTCGGGTGTTCACTCAAGCCTATTCACCATTAAAAGAATACTTGAACGGGGAATGGCCTAAAAGTATCCAAGAAGAGAAATGGATTACCATATTCAAAGACCTAAGGACTGAAGACATAGTTTGGCGGTCCCTTGGTTGTCTCATGTCCATATTTTGTACAAGTGTAGAAGTTATGGTTGGGTGCCTTTAACATGAATTGGGGGTGGAATTGTATATTCCCAATTACTTGTTTTGAGGCAGTATGAAGCAAGAAAATTTATTCCAGTGACATCGGGATTAATTGACACGAATTTTTCCTACCAAGAGGATAACTATAAGAAGAAGATTCAAGAGTTTATTGATGCTTGAAGTCAACCATTTCGCACTAAAATAGCAATGGATTAGGAAATGCTCACACTTGACTATGTGCTTTGGAGGACTAAGAGGGTAAATGATAATCTTCCACCACCTAGCTAGGGTGAAACTTTACCGCTATAGGAACTCTTAAAAAAGGTACCAACAAAAGCTGAGATAGTTCGACAAGAATGTGAGGTGGAAAAAGCTGAACTTTACAAGCTGAAAGAAGAAAAATCAAAGTTAGAACACAACCTCATTGTTCAACAAGGCTGGTCAAGCAGATTCAAAAAAGAACGAGATGATTAAGGAAATTATTTCAAAGATTTACAGGCTGCATACCGGAAGCTTCAAGTAAAATTGAGAAATACAAAATTGCACAAATCACCACATGAATGAGAGCGGTAGTTAATGTACAAGCACGAGAAACAGAGCATTGGTGGGGGAAGTTCAAAGGAAGCAAAGTCCAGTTGGAGACATTGTCTCGAAACTTAAAAGAAATGCAAGGCCGGCACAACACTACCCAAAATGAGCTAAT